ACTGGAGAATCTCTCCTGTGAGAACAGCCTGGGAGAGGTGGGTGTGTTAACCTAAAGAAGAAAAGGCTGAGGGAGGATCTTGTCAATATGTATAAATACCATAAGGAAGAGTGTCAAGAGAACTGGGCCAGACTCTTTCCAGTGGTGCGCAGCAATAGGACAAGAGAGAATGTCCACAAACTGAAGCACAGGGAGTTCCACTTGAATTTGAGAAAAATATTCTTGACTGTGAGGGTGACAGAGCACAAGAGAAGGTTGCCCAGAGAGGTGTGGAGTCTCCTTCTCTGGCGATATCCAAAAACCACCTGGACACAATCCTGTGCAATGTGCTCTAGGTGACTCTGCTTGAGTAGGGGAGTTGGACTAGATGGTCTCTAGAAGTCCCTTCCAACCTTGACCATTCTGTGATTCTGTGATTTTGCTATAGAGAAAATCAGTGTGTAAGAAGATAAGATTCTCCTAACAACATTGGGCTTGGACCAATATGAACACGTCATCCATACAATGGCTCCTAGTTGTTCAGGACATACACAGGGTTTTCATGATGACACAACTTGCCGGGATCTATAGCTAATCAAAGTTTGGTGTGATCAAAATACCAGATACACACGACTCAGAGGGAAGATCACAGAAACAAAGCGAAGGTGAAGTTGCTATGGTCCTCTGCAGAGCCTCCCCTTTTTTCCTAAGTCCAGACTGTCTGTTGCGCTGTTTGCAACACCCAGGACGTAGCTTACATACAGTGACTTCGGGATCTACAGAATTCCCTTAAAGAGGAAGACAAATAGAAACATTGGAGGAGTGGTGAAGTGAGAAGAGCAAGTTCAGTGAACTCTTTTCATGAACCTCACCTTCATCACAAGAGACTTCCATCTGTTTCTGTGTTAAAACAGCCTTCTCTTCAGAAACTCATCATATTATCCTCACTGGCTACAATTAAATCACATGAAGAATCTTCCATTTTATAATGAGGTTCTCAAATCATGCCCTGCATGCATGGTGCCCCACTGTGTGACACCAACTTGAAGAATATTTGGAAAATATCTACTTTAATGAAAATACAAGCAGGAGTAAAGTCAGGTAATTCAAGGTGAGAAAAACTGATTTTATTCATTAGATTAAAATCAAAAAGGCAAACATCTGACAAATGATAAATCTGAATATGTATACCAGTCTGTATTAAAGAACCTGACAAATAAATTGAGTGCTAGTAGCGGTTGATCTTTACAGTTCTTAAAATGATGGAGAGGTTCCAAAGACATATTATAAGATCCAGTCTCTGTTCCAAGTTCTGTGCACATCTACGCTTAAATTCAAGGAAAACAATGAGGTGTGGCAATAACTAGGCAAGATTATCCTCACCTTTCTATGAGAGATTGGAAATCCTCTGTTCTGCAAAATATATTCTGCTGCCTTCTCTGAAATATCAAACTGTGCTTCAGAAGGTTTGTTTTGGCAGGTCTTAACACTGCTCACTCATTTTCTAGCACCTCTTATTTAAAACAGAGGAATGATTCTCACAGGAAATGATTCCTTCCCTTACTATAGTGGATGAAATAATTTATTGCAAGTAATCCTCCAGACATTCAATGTACTTTTCTTCCAATATAAAACCAAACATCTTCATGATGATTTAATCATGATCATCTTCAAGATGATTTAATCTTATTAGACTATATTTTAGTTCAATTAATTTAAATAGAGAATATTCTCCAAAGCTCTAATTCATGTCAAGACAAAAGGAATGTAGTGCTTGTGATGATCTACTGAATTGCGTTTGGTTAGAAAAGTTGTAAGTCGTTATGCTGCATTGAAAGTTGTGTTATGTTATATGAGCCATCAAGCTTATACTCATTTTGACTGAAATTTTTAGATGTGCTTGTGGTGAAAGGTCACACATATGTAATGTAGAGAGAATACATGTACACAAAAGATGAGAAATCAAGTAAATATCATCAGAAAATTACTGTGATTATGCATCCCTATATATACAGACTGTAAAAATGTTCCGTTTTATTTTTTAAAGAATCCAGTGACTTAGTGTTGAAAATAATTGAAGATAGTATCTGGAACTGACTTGATTAACATTTTCTTTATTTTGTGTTTTCCCCAAAAATGTACTTTACCAATTACAGGTCCTAATGGGAGCTGTAACATGGGACAGAAAGAAAAGGTTGCTCCTGAAGGTAGGTCTGTTAGTGCCCCTCAAATTACTTCACCAGCTACTCCTCTTTAGTGCATAATCGTATTGGCTCAGGATCTGGCCTTGCAGTAATGATACCTGTGGAGAAGAAGGGATAGAGCTTCCCTTTCCTACCATAACCCTCAGTGATGGTGAAAGTGTACATAGGAATTTGGCTGTGGACATCATAGAATGCTAGCTGCCTGTCTGAGATGTCCAGAAATATCCCAATCTTTTGTGGTTTCTTCCTCACAGTCAACCGTGTCCAAGGCTCAGTGCGGGCCCAATAATCTCTTCCATCAACTAGTGCTATGACCCAAAAGCCATTCTTAGGACACAGAATCAATGTCCCTTTTCTATCCACTGATTCAGAAGCTACTCCCAATTCCCAGTTATTTTTATTCCCCACATTCACTTCCCAATAGTGTTTCCCAGAGGAGAAGCCTTCAGATGCCAAGATGAAGGTGTGGGAGTCAAACCTAGTGCTATTGTTGGCCACCTTTCTAACTATCCCTATATCTTTTACACTCTTCCCTTCTTCAAATACTTCCAGTCTAGGGTGAGCTGTGTCAGCATCCAAGACAATGGTATCTGCAAGGAAGCACAAATCATCTTATAAACTCTTCCCTGCTATATGAGAATCAATCAAGGAACTCAACCTGAATCAACCTCAAAAGAGAAAAGATATTTAAAAAAAAAAAAAAAAAAAGGAAAAAAGGAAAAAAGAAATCAGCATCCTTTCCTCCTTTTCCACAAATTCATCAAATTTTCTGCTCTCTCTATGTTAAGACCCATCATCTTTTTGAATGATCATGTCCTGGAGTTTTACTGGCTCCAGCTTCAAAATGGAATAAAGCATAATTATTCTGCTGTGACAATTGGTAAAAGAAGCAAAGAAAACAAAGCAAAACGAATCACTCGCCTCTGAGATTTCTTTCAGATGAAAATTAAAACTGTGAGAACAAAAACATAATACAGGAAAATCCCCCCTTCCCAACAAGTTAAAATGTTCTCACCTCTATAATAACATTTTTCCAGGAAATCTGCAGATGAACAGACATGGCAACAGATTAGGGTCATAGAATGGGATTAGCTTTGAAAAGCTTTCTCATATATTTCATCTTGCAATATAGCTGTTCACTGCCCTAGTTATGAATACAATATGAGAAGATGCTTGCCTGTTCAGTCTCCAATCTCTTAATCTTTCTTCAAAGAATAAAGGTATTTAAGGAGGAAAGCCTGTGTAATCTGGGGTTATTGACATGTAGACCTCAAACCTTTTCCTCTAGTCTTTATGCCTTAAAATTTATGGCGTGAAGGAGAGTAAATAAGACCACAAAAGTATGTTAAATGACCAGATTTCCAAATAAACCTATATAGTTTCAAGTCTTCCTCCTCCTCCTCCTCCTCCTCAAAAAAAAAAAAAAAGCTAAATTTGATTAATTTCGGTGATGGTGAGAGAGAATTCATATTTTACAGATTCGCTTCATCTCAAGGATGTTCAGAGCTAAATTGTAGAGCATATGGCCCTCTGGTCACCGTTAAGCATGATTTGTGTAAGGGAAACAGGACCGTTACAGTTATAAAGCTTCCAAATGAGGCAGTGCAATTCCTTTGACAATGGCAGTGTCCCTTTACTTATTCTTGAGTAACTCCATGTATTCATCAAGTTCTAAATAACCAGAAAAACATTTAAGTCTTCAGCATCTACATCATCTTCATTGTTCTCTGGTCTTCATCCAAGAAGTTTAGAAAGCAAGACTGACCCAGAATATGATCCATGGTGGATGTTTTTTCTCACCGCACCATACACTAAACTTTAGTGCTGTTCTCTTCTAAAGGACACCTGCAGCACCAAGAATGCAGGATACACCTTTCCTGCCACTACAAAGAACTAATTATCCTACTGTGGTTTGAAAGTTATGACTATGATAGACTTTTTCTATCAGGGTTTTGTTTAAATTCTAGAGATAACCTCCAAAATTCTCCCCACTATAGTAAAATACTAATAGACCAGGATTCCCTGGATGCAGAAGATAAATAATTTTCTCTGTGCTTTATTTTCACAGTTAAAACTACATCAAGGATCACATAAACTTACCGATTCTCCTTCTCATTTCTTCTGCAAGAGAATAAAAAACATTTCAACATTTCAGCCTCACACCCATACAGAGTAAAATAAATAAAATTAAAATTGATTAAATTAATTAAACAAAATTTGGTTTAGTATGTCTGGTAAGGAAGAGCAAGTTGGATAATTTTTTGAGCTACAGGGAGACTTTTTGCTTTATCCTTCCCCTTTACTCAGCCCTAGTGAGGCCACATCAGGAGTCCTGTTTCCAGTTCTGGACAACCCAGTACAAGAGGGATACAGAACTACTGGAGAGAGCCCAGCATGGGGCTACAAAGATGGTAAGGAACTGGAGCATCTCTGCTTTGAGGAGAAGCCGAGAGACCTGGGTTTATTCAGCCTGGAGAAGAAAAAGCTGAGAGGGGATCAACGCAATCAACAAATATCCTAAATGAGGGTGTCAGGAGGATGGGGTCAGACACTCGTAAGTGGTGGCCAGTGACAGGACAAGAGGCAATGGCCATAATCTGAAACACAGGAAGTTCTGCCTGAATTTGAGGCAAAACTTCTTGACGGTGAGGGTCAGAGCACAGGGGCAGGTTGTCCAGAGAGCTTCTGGAGTCTCCTTCTCCGGAGATATTCCAAATGCCCCTGGATGCGATCCTGTGCAACCCGCTCTGGTGACCCTACTTAGGTGACCCAACCTCAGCCATCCTGTGATTCCGTGATTTTGAAATCCATAGTTCATTAAAAAAAAAAAAAAAGTCAAAACTAAGCTGCCAACTAGCAGAGCAAGAAGAAGTGGAAGCAGACAAAAATGTCAGGCATCCTGAGAAAGGGCAACTAGTTAGGAAAGAGGAGGGATGGTCTGAGGAGCTGATGGGGTCATCAGGATAGGCTAGTAGACCACATTGCAGTGTCAACACCAATGAGGTTAGGCAAAAATGCAACCAGTGTTTTTCAATTCTTCTGTATTCATTTTTTACTACTTGAAGAATTCTCCTTTAAAATCAGTACTTATACGATAGAAATTCACTTACCTTTCTCCTTGTCATCTTTTTCTAAAGGTGAAAGAAAACAGACAGAAAAAAAAAACACGTAAATATTCAACTTCTGTTTTAAAGATACAAAAGCACCAGCTCAGACAAAATACACAGAAACCAAGATCCTCAGCCTTTGCACTCCTAAAACTTTATAGCTGCTAAGAACAGGAAAAATAAAAAAAGATTGCCATGGGTCTCATGGGACAAATCATTTGTGGATACTTAAGGGAGTACGTGGTACTGTGGGTGCTCTTTGTTTTTAAGCAGGTACCTCTGAAAACACAGTAGTCTGCTGTGTCTTGACAAAGTTAGTTTGTACTTTGACTTTGCATTCAGGTTTGTCACTGACTGCTTGGAAAAGTAGAACAGCAGTAGCCTCACATAGAGGGGAAAGGAGCCTAGATATCTCTTGGATCCTGCCCTGCACCATAACATCTATTTTTAGCAATAAGCCAGGAACAATTACTAGAAACTTATCTCATGTACTATTTTTTTAATGCAAATCTGTCTGTGATTGCATCTGTTCCTGTAGTGATGGTGATGTGTGTAATGGAAGAAAAAGGCTGTGGAGTGTCCTTCTCTGGAGATCTTCAAAACCTGTCTGGATGTCACCCTGTGCCACATGCTCTAGGTGTCCCTGCTTGAGCAGGGGAGTTGGACTGGATGATCTCTAGAGGTCCCTTCCAACCTTAACCATTCTGTGATTCCATGAAAAAAAAATATATTAGGGAAACACCTAATCCCTCTTCCAATGTAATTCTGAATTGCAAAGTGTCAAGAGCACAAATTAATGACCATAACATATGTTGTGTTATTAACATAGAACCTGAACAGAGATTGTGCAGACTTACCAAATATTCAGCCACATTTTCTGTAAAAAAAAAAA